TGGGAAAGGAAAACAAGAAGCCGGTCCAAGTGGGTCAAAGGACCCAAATATGCAACAAGGTCAGAATTTTGAAAACATTGATAATTCGGTTCAGAATTATGTATCACTAATATCCGAGGCATTTTATATGCAGGATGATGATGTTGCATGGTGGGTAGATTCGGGAGCAACATCCCATGTGTGCAAGGATCAACGTTGGTTCACATCTTTGAGGCCAATTGAAGATGGCTCAACATTGCGCATGAGGAATGTGTCTACCGAACCCATCAAAGGAATTGGAAGTGTTAGGCTAGTGTTTACTTCTGGAAAGTCAATAACATTAAATAATGTATTATTTGTTCCTGGTATTCGTAAAAACTTAGTGTCTGGTATTGTATTAAATAATTGTGGTTATAAACAAGTCATAGAGTCCGATAAATATGTATTATCTAAACATGGTTCGTTTATTGGATTTGGATATTTGAATGGTATGTTCAAGTTAAATTTAGATATATCTTATCTCAATGAATCTATATGTATGGCTTCTACTAGTTCTAGCATTATTTCAAATAAATCTGAACTGTGGCATGCTAGACTAGGACATGTTCATTATAAGAGATTAAAAGATATGTCTAAAATGAGTTTAATACCTGTATTTGATTTGAACATTGAGAAGTGTAAAACTTGTATGCTCATTAAGATAGCGAGACAACCATTCAAAGAAGTTCGTAGGGAAAGTAAAATTTTGGATCTTATTCATAGTGATTTATGTGACTTACATAGTACCCCTTCTCCTTGAAATAAAAAATATGTAGTCACTTTCATAGATGATGCATCCAGATTTTGCTTTGTTTATTTGCTACATGCAAAAGAAGAAGCCCTTGATAAATTTAAAATTTATAAGCAAGAGGTAGAGTTACACCAAAGTAACTTGATTAAAATTCTTCGAACGGATAGGGGAGGCGAGTATTATGATCCAGTATTTTTCCAAAGTACTGGTATAATACATCAAACAACTGCGCCTTATACACCACAACAAAAGGGTGTTGCAGAAAGGAAGAATAGGACTTTAAAAGAAATGGTTAATTCCATGTTATCCTATTCGGGCTTAAGCGAAGGATTTTGGGGTGAGGCGATGTTAACGGCATGTTACTTGTTGAATAGAGTTCCTAATAAAAAGATGAAAACAACCCCGTATGAACTCTGGTACAAAAAACCACCAAACTTAAGTTATCTTAAAGTTTGGGGGTGTAGGACCGTTGTTAGACTTACGGAACCAAAGAGGAAAACTTTGGGTGAAAAAGGCATAGATTGTATCTTTATTGGATATGCTATGCATTCCAAGGCATATAGGTTCTATGTTATAGAACCTAATGACTTTGTATTTGTAAACACAGTTATAGAGTCAAGAGATGCAATTTTTGATGAAGAAAGATTTACTTCTATATCCAGACCAAAGGATATGACCCCTACTTCAAAGGTCTCTCAAAATGTGCCTTCCATAAATGTTGAAGTAAGGAAAAGTACAAGAGCAAGAAAACCAAAATCTTTTGGTGATGATTTTCAACTCTACTTGATGGAAGGAACAAGAGATGAGATTGAATTTCAATATCAATATTGTTTCAATATTGAGGAAGATCCTAAGACATTTAATGAAGCTATGGCTTCAAGGGATGTTGCATTTTGGAAGGAAGCAATTCAAGATGAAGTTGACTCTATTATGCAAAATAATACATGGAAATTGACTGATTTACCTCCCGGGTGCAAACCTCTAGGATGTAAATGGATCTTCAAAAAAAATGAAGGTTGATGGAAGCATAGATAAGTTCAAAGCGAGATTGGTCATCCAAGGCTTTAGACAGAAAGAAGGCATTGATTTCTTTGATACCTATGCACCTGTTGTTAGAATTTCTACAATTAGATTGTTATTAGCCCTTGCGGCTATACACAATTTAGTGATTCACCAAATAGATGTAAAAACTGCATTCTTGAATGGTGAATTGGATGAAGAGATATATATGAAACAACCTGAAGGTTTTGTCATGCCTGGGAATGAAAATAAGGTTTGTAAGTTGGTGAAATGTCTTTATGGTCTAAAGCAAGCACCAAAACAATGGCATCAAAAATTTGATGACGTTGTTTTGTCGAATGGTTTTGAATTAAACCAAGCAGATAAGTGTGTATATAGCAGATTTGATGCTTCTGGACAAGGAGTTATAATTTGCTTATATGTAGATGACATGTTAATTTTTGGTACTAATCAAAATCAAGTTGATAATACCAAGGAATTTTTGTCATCTAGGTTTGCCATGAAAGACATGGGGGAGGCTGAAGTGATTCTTGGTTTAAGGATCAAGCGTAAGAATAATGAAATTTCTATTTCTTAATCACATTATATTGAGAAGATTTTGAAGAAGTTTAACTTCAAAGATTGTTCTCCGGTCAGCACTCCTATTGATCCAAGTCTAAAGCTCTTCCCTAACAAAGGTGTTGCAGTATCTCAACTAGAATACTCACGAGCTATTGGATGTTTGATGTATGCTATGATTAGTACAAGGCCAGACATAGCATATGCGGTTGGAAAACTTAGTAGGTATACTAGCAATCCTAGTTCGCATCATTGGCAAGCGATTAACCGAGTATTTAAATACTTGAAGGGAACCATGAACTATGGATTAACTTACACCGACTTTCCTTCTGTTTTGGAAGGATACTCGGATGCAAGTTGGATAACCAATATGGAAGATCACTCTTCCACAAGTGGATGGATATTCCTTCTCGGTGGAGGAGCAATTGGTTGGGCATCAAAGAAACAAACTTGCATAACTAACTCTACAATGGAGTCTGAGTTTGTGGCTTTGGCGGTAGCCGGTAAAGAAGCAGATTGGCTAAGAAATCTGATATATGACATTCCTTTGTGGCCAAAACCAATATCTCCCATATCTATTCGGTGTGATAGTGAAGCTACTTTGGCTAAGGCCTATAGTCAAGTCTATAATGGGAAGTCAAGACACTTAGGTGTGAGACACAGCATGGTTCGAGAGCTCATCATGCATGGTGTAATATCAGTGGAGTTTGTAAGGACTCAACAAAATTTGGCTGATCATCTAACCAAAGGGTTAAGTAGAAACCTTGTGCAAAGATCGGCTATAGGGATTGGATTGAAGTCTATATAAATTTCTCATGGTAAGAATCCCAATTCCCATCTAATAAGACATTAGATGCTGAATTCAATGTGGAAAATCTTAACATCTAGAAATTGGAACACATTAAGTATATTATCCCAAGGCATGGCATGTGTTCAGACCTGTAAGATTAGGAGGATGAAGTACGTCTTCTTAATAGTTCTTTTGAAAAATTGCATATGCAGGTGCAAGAATAAAGAGGACTACCTATATGAGCATGAAGTTTAGCCGCTTCAAGAAGTAGAGACTTCACTTCGATATGCTTATGAAGGATTAGGACACAAGGCTAGTAAATAATAGTGTCAAGTTAGAACATTAAAGTATGTAAACTTTTGTGTATATTATCTTCATGTATTCAAAATGAATAGCAAGGGTTCAATCC